AGACAGACAGACAGACAGACAGACAGACAGAGAGAGACAGAGAGAGAGACAGAGAGAGAGAGACAGAGAGAGAGAGAGACAGACAGACAGACAGACAGACAGACAGAGAGAGACAGAGAGAGAGACAGAGAGAGAGAGACAGAGAGAGAGAGAGACAGACAGACAGACAGACAGACAGACAGAGAGAGACAGAGAGAGAGACAGAGAGAGAGAGAGAGAGAGAGAGACAGACAGACAGACAGACAGACAGAGAGAGACAGAGAGAGAGAGAGAGAGAGAGAGAGAGAGGATAAACTAAAGGTAAATATTTGACTTTGGGGGGAAAATTAAGCAAAACTCTGACGCAGACTCTGATCCATAATTCATTTTCATGAGTTTGAACCTGTCTTCTCACAATGAATTCACATATTTTCTGAGGGAGTTACAGAATATTTCTACTATCGTACTATACTCTACTCTAGTATAGTATACTCTACTCTACTCTACTCTAGTATACTCTACTCTACTATAGTATAGTATACTCTACTATAGTAGAGTATAGTAGAGTATACTCTACTATACTATACTATACTAACATGACCTTAAATCCCATTTGAAAGCAGCATTATTTGTCACTTTCTGGAAATATAATCGTGTTACTGATATATACCCGTTAGCTCTACACAGTTGTGCTCTCTGTATTTCATTGCTTGTGCATTTATTGCCCATATGCATTTGTTTGAGCACTTATGTGTAACAACAGCTCCCAGTGATGTGAAGAGTTTAACAGATGGAGAGAACAAAGAGAAACATCTCAATGTAAATAAGGTGGAGAAGCAGTATTTCAACACCTGGAGCCAAATGGAGCAGAATGCAGTGAGTCTTAGAAAAGCTGCTAAAAAGTTGGCTCAACATTTTCACATTATCCTGCTGTTAAAGGCAGCGCTGCGTTCACGCTGTACCTTCATGTGACTGCTGGGGTTGTCGAGCATGAAGGAGGCCTTCATGGCCTCGGGGTATGCCCCGGCTTTGTAAAGGGACTGGGCGTAGTACACCTTGTACTCCTCCACCTCCGGGTGCAGCTGGGTGAGCTGCTCGTAGCAGTCTGCAGAGTTGGTGAAGTCCTGGATGTGATAGTAGCAGAAGCCCAGCAGAGACAGCGCTGCTCTGGACTGTGACACAAAGGAAAGCAACGAGAGTTAAACCGCTGGTTTGTGTTTGTAACATGAGGCTGTGTGGATTAACTATACAACATCAATCTGTGCGTTTGTAAAACTGTCAGTGAATGTTTGTATTTGTCAGTTAAAAAGTGACTGAAACAATTAATTGATCATCAAAATAGTTGAAGCTTCATTTTCTGTCAATCAACTAGTTGACTAATTGATAAATATAATTACATTTTAGGCCAAATATTTGTAATAAAAGACATGAGGACATCCTGGACATATATATATATACATATATATATATATATATAATGTGCACGTTTCATATTAACACTTACCTTCGTGTGTTTCTGAAGTTGGCCGTTTAGGATGTGAATTGCTTCCACATACTGGCTGTCTTTAATCTGAAACACAGAGTTATGAATTATGATGGTTATATACAGCATATCAGAGGTTATTTAGAGATGAAGTAACGTTGTGTTAGGGACAACAACACTGCAAACGTTTGACTATTATTGAATCGTTTGGTTATTTTTGTTTTTAATATAAATGCCGAATTTACGAGCAGTCGATAGCGTGTCCGGTGTGTGTTTTTCAGTTAGCTAAAAACACTAAAATGAAGGTTTTTTGAATGGAGTTTGGCTCAGCGTTAGCTGGTTAGCAGCGTTAGCTGAGAAGCTAACCTCAACTAAAACACTATTCTCACCAGTTTGTAGATCGTAGCCGTGTACTCTCCGTCTTTTATAGCGGTCATGGCTTCAGACCAGTTGTTTTAATGTGAACAAATTACTTTGAGCTTTGAGCGTTCCCAAAAATCTGAAATCGAGCATCGAGCTAGCTTCTGTTTAGCGGACGGACGGATGGCTTCAGCTGTCACTTAGCAACGGAACACACCGGAAATAGAACATTTGACAGACGTGTGTGAGGGCCAATCGTGTAGGAGATAGAAGTTAAACTGGCCAACCTCTCATTTTTTCTCCCTCCAAACCTTTATTTACCTGTTGAACACAGATACACAATAATAACATAAATATATAAATATATATTATATATATACATATAACACAACAACCTATGACTTCATGTGACATCATGTTTTCTCTAAAATGTTATTTATTTCAGATAATTTTTACAAGTGTATGCAGGTCAGCCATATTTCATTCCAGCAGTTTAAATGTTTTATTATTTTCTTATTATTATCATATATATTTTTTAAAGACAAACAGTACAGAGTTAGTTATATACGTGGCAGAAACACAAAAACAATTACAATCGTCTCATATAAATCAATCCATTTATTCATCTATTAATTATTCTAAAATCAGCATCTTAATTGAAAAATGTTGCTCCTTTAAGGTATAAAATTGTATTTAATTGTGATGTCATTCTGCACACTTAAAGGGGTTTCACACTTAAATCCATTTTCAAGTAAGCTGAAAGTTTAAGGGATTGTTATCCATTAAGATAAATACATTTAAGCTGAAAGCATGCAGATGATCCATTGAAAGCCTAGTAAGGCAGGTTTACTGTATGATATGATGATGTTCAGGTGAGGGTCACATGATCAGCTCCACTATCACCTGCAGGGTGAGTTGAACAGACTGAAACATGTGCAGATAATTTAAAGTCAGAATATAAGCAGCCAAAAATTGCTGGTCAAGCTAGCTCGACCATATGTGTTCTCGGTTTCTTCCTGAATCGATGCTAGACGTCCGTGCAAGTTGAAATCATCACGCTCAAAGTCTTGTTTTTCAGAGTAGACAAATGAAACCACACCCACACACACACACATTCCTGTGTAGTGTATCTCAGGTGGGAATCAAACCCGTGTCTCAACAGGTCTGCATCCTCAACCACTGCACTCCACTGGAACGAGAAGAGAGAGAGGATGATCAGACTGAAGCTGCAGAAACTTCCTCTTCATCACACATACGCACACGCACTCACGCACATACACACACACACACACACACACACACACACACACGCAGAGAACAAGGGTTCATTACTTCTTCATTGTATGAGCTGCATCTTTTTTTCTTTACAGTCATTATTCCTTGACGTTTTGGCTCCATTGTCTTACACTAATGAAGCCCACTGAACTGAAGTGAACCGGCACTCGGAGCGGATCAGAGCCTGAATGCATCTAAACGTCTCAGAGGAGGATCTCTGTTCTCAGAGTGACTCATGTTTGGTTCTTCTTTTAAAAGCCTTTGATCCACTTTCCTAACTTGTGAAGTGACGGATATCTCAGCTGGAACGTCTCAGAGCTGCAGAGGAGTTTAAATCTGTCAGCCGCATCACATTCAACTCATTCAAAGCAAAATATTATCATTTATTCAACACAACTTTTGGGTGGAGCTTAGAATTTAATATGAAAATTTAACTTCTTGAAGGCTTAAGAGATAACCAATTAAAGTCCTTTTATATATTGAAATATATATTTATTTATCCATTAAACTGACATGTGACGTGAACACATATTTACTGTATATTCTGAAACAAACAGACTTTATGAAGTAAAACTGCTCAAAAGAAATAAAACTGACCTGCAATAAACTCGAAAACAAGTAATAACTTTATATAATATGAGATTCTTATGGATGTTTCTCTTCTCTTTCATTCTTTCTTTCTTTCTTTCTTTCTTTCTTTCTTTCTTCCACAGCACAAGCACAGAATGGTAAAAACCACCAATGATCTCATTTCTGAAGGATTCAGGAAGTGAATGAGATGGATCCCAGAAAAGAAGAACAACACACACACACACACACACACACACACACACACACACACACACACACACACACACACACACACAGTGGTCAATCCAGATGAAACCGAAGGTGCTGGAGCTTCGCCCCACAAACCTCAAACCTCACTGTTTTGACCACCAGGCCTCCATAATGACGGAGGAGAGGGTGGCTGCTCTGTGTGTGTGTGTGTGTGTGTGTGTCTCTTGTGTATATGCATGTGCATGCATGCTTGTGTGCAGCCTGGGTGTGTGTTTCCTGTCTCTCTCTGTCTGCTCTCCTCTCCTGCCTGTCACTGCCTTCTGTTGGGACGGTAGAGAAGCTGTGCAGAAGAAGAGCTCAGAATCAAACAGGTATGTGTGTGTGTGTGCAGAGAGCAGCGTTTCATTTACACATTGATCACTTTACTTTTATCCTTAGGTGATGAAGAAAAGCCCGGGGCCGTTAGTTTGATTATCAACGATAACCAGATTGTGCTGCTTTATGTTTTCAGCTTGATTTTCTTTGTGTTCAAAGTTAATTTGAGTTAAAACCAAAACAAAGAAAGTAAAAATAAAAGTGCGTATGGATTAAAATCTAAAAAAAACGAAATCTCTAAATATTGCAGAAGCGATGAGATCAAATATGAGTGTATTCGTGCTGCATATAAGAGCATGAGCACTATAAGTGTAATGCACGCTGGAGATGAAACCGAATGGGACTCTTTTTTAATGTTGAGCATTAATTTGAATCAGGCATCTGCCGTTTAAATATTGAATGAATTCTTCCGTGTGCCTTTTTTCACCGCGGGGCCAAACTTATTTCATGTTGCCAGATTGAGCCCGGTTAGAGCTGATGAGATTTTGGTTGCTTGAAAAAAAAAAAAAAAAGAGAAGAAGAAGCTGTGCTTTTGAGAAAAGCTGCAGCAGAGAGAGAGCTGAACCACATGTGCAGTGTGTTGTTTATGTGTGTGTTTCAGGCCTGTGTGTGTGTGTGTGTGTGTGTGTGTGTGTGTGTGTGTGTGTGTGTTGTATACACCTGCAGGGTCAGAGGGGTCAATGTGTGTTTGATTGAATAGTTTTTGGGAGTTGGTTAATTCTGCATCAAGTGATAACAACAAAATGATCTGGGTGTTCCCGGTTTAACTGGAGCTTATGTTGCGTTCATGGACTTTCCTTATTGTCAACCATTAAAAAGACAAAAACCAACAACTTGTTAGGGCATCTCTCAATACCTCCTGACTTCATGTCTGTGTCTCTCTTCTACTGAAGAAGGCATCTTTACAAGCACAAATATGTATCATTTCATCAGTAATTTCCTAAAACAGCTGCTCCCTGTAGATTTTAGTTTTGTTTTAGGGAATAGTGTACTTGTTGGGGACTATTTTCAGCGGCGGATGAATCCGCGTTGAGTGGTTTAGGCAGCTGGACGGTTGATGTGGGAACGTTTTTCTAAACTCCGTGTTCTCGTTTTTAAAGTTCTTGCCTTCGATTTTATCAATGTCATCAACTAGTTTATGGAAAGATTGTAACAATGATTTTGGTTCGGTTCGGCTGTCGGATAGGCAACTAAAACACTTGGTTATTGTTGGAGAAAGATTGGAGTTACTTTTAATAAAAAAGCTGCGGTTGAGTTCTAGGATTTTGAAGGTGGACGTACAGCGAAGCTGCTTTGTCTATTACGCTTCGAGGGAAACTTGTTTTCTCCGGGATTACGTTCGTTTTTGAACACATCATGAGTTTCTAATGATGGTCAGCGACAGGTCGGAGGTCAGGGTGAACGGAGGAGTCAAACAATCACAGGACTCTCACCAGGAGACCACTGTTCATGTCCCGTGTGAAACCACAAGTCAAAGTGGACTTATTCTAATTCTGTCTGTACCTTAAATGATTTAACAAAACTACTTATCTCAAGCCAAACCTTCATGTTTTCGTAATCAATTAGTTTTGTTGCGTTTTTGTTTTGTTTCAATTCACAAAGTTAACCGATGTTTAAAACTGCGACCGTAATCCGGGAGAAAATATATATCTAAAAAGTTTGATTGTGAAATGCAATGTAGTTGAATTGAAGGTTGATTGTGAGAGAGACGGGGACGGGCTTTGGATAAACGGACACTCATCAGTTCTTTTCCTGAGATTTTGTTGACAAAATGAAATATCACCAGCTGGGTTCAAGTCTGCAAACTGACCATGTTATAAAATACAGTGTAATTCTTAATTAATTGCAAATTGATGTTAATGTGAAGAGGAAGCTAAAAATGTGTGCATTAACGCTGCAGGTCCTTTAATGACCACTACAGGGCGCTCTAGACAATCTGATGATTTAAGTGACAAAAAAACGAGTGTGTTACGCTGCAGAAGAGGTTTGACAAACTTATTTGAGCAGCTCTTAAAGAATACAGAGAACCCCTGTTTTTATATTCATCAAATGTCTTTGTCACCATCACTTTTCAAACATGTGGAAGTCATGTAACACTGCTGCACAGACTAAAGCCTCTGTGTATTACTGCAGTCATGTGTGTGTAACTGAAATAAACAGCAACTCTCTGAGGTAGTGTGCACTCAGCGTGTCTCTGCAGCTCTCCGACTCTCTCTCGGTTCACTTTAGTGCCTCAGCCGTCTGACGGCTGCTCGGACTCGTTCCTTAATGTGAGCTGAGAGTTCAGCCTCGGGCTCCTTCCACTGTTCCACCCTCCGACACGCCTGGAAGACTTAGGAGTTTGTTCTCAGAGAAGTTAGATTTCCTTTTCCTCGGCTTCATCAGGATTGATGAAGCCTCGCGGCAAAGCCGTGAGGGTTTAAGGCAGTGCTGAGGACGAGTGTAACACCTGCAGCATGCTGACTCAGGCTGCAGAGCACCAGTAATGGACTGGAACAGGGGTCTTCAACGTTTTTCAGGCCAAGGACCCCCTGTTGAAGACCTCTGGACTAGAACAAAGACTGAGAGGACATCCAGCACTCAACGCAGAGGAGGAGACTTGAAGAATAAGTAGCATAGATACGTGATTTCATTATACTAATGTATTAAAATGAAAATGACTAAACATAATTACTCAGCTCGCCTCTGAGTCGTTTGACTTGATGAAGATGGAATAATAAAGGTGTCTACTACCGACTCAATCTTCATTAGATAAACGGTGGCAATTACTTCTAATC